AGCGTTGGCGAGGCAGTGTCTCACCAGGGCCGAACATTAAGTGGATGTCTCGGACCGTGCTCGTGAACATAAGGCAGATCTGAAACACGATAGGACCAATACCTGGGCCGTGGCTGATCACTGTTTTAATGCGGTGGGCTCACACGAAATTTATTTCTCTAAGATGATGGTACTTTGCAAACCAACCGACTATCAACAAACATTCGTTCATGACATTATCAACCAGTTTAAGTCATAACTGGCTGTGATGGTCCCATCCTTCCACCTTCCGATGTTAGTTGTTATTTTCGGCTTTCTGATTTTACATTAACAGGTAAAATTTCCCACACTAACACAGCCACCTCGCTCTCCGAGCTCGATGTTGCTGCTCTGCGATCTCCCATTAACATGCTAATCTCACATTAACATAGCCGCCTCCGCGCCCTCGTCGTGGAGGCCGCTCTCCGATCTGACATTAACATGCTAATTTCTTACATTAACATAACTAGCCCCACCCACTTCGTTTATGACCCTTGGACTATACACCCATTTTAAACCTTTCAAACAGTCTGCCCCAGCAGCTTTCCCCTTCATTTTTTCCTCCTGATGACGATCGCTTGTGTTGTGATCGAAACGTCGTAGTTTTTTTTAATTTTCTTTGAACCTATCTTCGTGACTTTACCGAAAGACCCAAATAATATTAATTCCTGCAGTCACGAAAGCTTTAAGTAAAAAAATATTGTAAAATCGACAACTTTTTTTTATAATTACTCTGTGCCACCCCCCCACACCTCCCGAAGGCAGGACCCCCCCCCCCCACACACAAGCCACGCCCAGCTTGACCCGGAAGTTGCCGATGACGTTACCAAACCCCACCCCCTATTACCTCCCGTCCAGCGGCACGCACGGGAACGGACTTTTCCCTTGCCAACCCATTCGGTGTTATCCGATTAAGTCGAGGAAATTCGAGGCAATGATCGGTCGCGTAATCGATTACTTATGTGGCTATATCCCAGATAGTTTTTCAGCCTTGGACTAGATGGAGGAAAGTACGAGACCTGTCCCCCCCGTACCTCCTATGTCCGTGGAATCCTATTAATCGAATCCTGATAATCAATAATCGATTAATGTTCTATTATCCCGTAAGATGGCAAACATGTGCAGGGGCTAGATCAGGGGGGAGGATCGGTGACAACCAAAACAAGCAGTGGGCATTTTTGTTCCGAATTCGGTATATATACATTCAAACCAACCACCAGGTTTGCCCGAGACCCCCCTCGAGTTCGAGGGCCAATATCGAGGTCGGCTAGCCACGAGGGGGCTTCAAGGAGAGACGCGACTTGGCGTCGTTTCCTCGTCGATTTAAAGCGCACAGACGAATTGTTAGTTACTCTACACGGCGCACGCCCGATTACTTCAACAATCGTTTCACGCCCCTGATGTTAGTTGCTGTGCTTTGATGGCGTTGTACCGCGAGAGATGGGGGGGGGGGATGGTGGTGCTTTTTTTCCTTCTTATTCTTCTTCTTTACACAATGGCGAACTTATTTAAAATGTCAGGAAAACTGCCAGCGGAGGGAGTTCGGAGGAGTTGAAGCACTCTCACTCCTCTCTCTCTCTCTCTGTGAGCCTCGGGCTGCTCCCAAAAGAGAGGGGGGAAAGGCGGCGAGCGACGAATGGAGAGAAATGGCCATGGTGGGAGACGGAGGGGTGAGGAGGCGAGGCACTCTTTTTAAATAACATCATCATGAACCACCACCACCATTGTCAATCAAACAACGGGGCCGCCAGCACCATGGCCATGCGCGATGATCTCGGCTGCCTCCCCTGAGCAAGTGTCCACGCGGAGCGTAGTTTTGACGAAGCGTACACAGTCCTCGTCTTTTTATTTGTTTACGCGATTACGTTCGTGTCGATTATTCTCAACGTTGTTACGACGCGCGGGTTTAATGTTGGTTTGTGCGTTCCGTGTATGTGTTTGTGTGTGTGTGAGCGACTTTAAATCATAAAAAGTACACCTAGCCTGGCACGGGGGGGGGGGGGTGGCTTCCTGTGGGACAACGCGTCAGCGCCACGTAATGGCGGTGGTTGTTGTTGTTTGAATGTTTGTTCCAACGTCGTACGTGTTGACATATATTGTATACTGTCTGTATTTACGTTGATATTTGTTGTACGGGATTTTTTTGTTTTGTTATTGCTATATTTTTTTTAACGATTGTTTAAAGTTGGCTGGCCAAATCGTTACAACCACGAAGGCCGATCGCGCTTATTGAGCGTCGTTAGGGCTCTGTTTTGTACACAATCACAAGGCGGCGCACACATAAATACGCGTGTGTTCGTGCAAATTAAATGTTTGTAAAGGCGTTGTGCTCGTATGCGTGACGGAAAGTGTGTTACAGCATGCTTACCGTTGTGCTAGTTAAGTGTGGCAAGTGTAGGGGAGGTAGTGTGGAAATGTTGTTTATCTGTAATGTGTTGTTTGCGTATCTCTGTGCGGATGATTGTCGTTTTTGTTTCAGCGCGTGTTTATATTTGTGTACATGTTGTTTGTGTTTCATGCGAGTTGGTAATGTTGTTTGTTGTTCCGTGTTGTGTACTTCTGTGTGTCCCTGTGTTTATGCGAGCCTGCGCTTTTACTGTTTTGTTAGTTGTTTACCGCTTTTGTATGGTTGTAAAGTTATCGTATTTTTGTTTACATGTACGTTTAAATATGTATTCAACACAACATGTGTATTCTACAACTTCAACCACTGTGGCCCACACGTGCATCATCACCCTCAATGTGACCATGTTTGCCACTATCAGAGAGATCATTGCGATAGCAGACACCAACTTCACGATAAACACCAAGCAAATCACCACAACCATACACACCGTGCAGTGCCCGTCTCTTTAAAAGCTTTTCATCGTCGACCCCACGACCCGCCGAGATGAGACGAAACAACAACAGCAGCAGCCGCCCCCTCCATCACCGCCTTGCACGGGACAGGCGACCATCACGGGCGTGAAGAAGACGAGCGAGCGAACAAGAAGCCAGCAGGAGGAGCAATCGTAGTGGGAGGAACAGCAGGGGAAGGCGTCAATCAGTCGTGTCCCATCCCCCACGTGTGTGTGTGTCCCGGGATGGCTAGGGGACCCCCTTTAGTAGGGGGACACCAATACCCCCCCCACGAACCCCTTCTTGTTACTCACCTGGCTTGGCTGAGGCTGGCCGGACCAAAGCAGTCCGCGATTCCACCACGAACTCGGTGGTGGGTCGTGGTTGATGATGATGGTGGTGATGATGGTGGTTGTTGTTGGTCGCGGGCACGCGTGCGTGTGTGCTCGTGCACGCACTATGGAGGGAGCAGGGGTGGTGGTTGGGGGGGTGGAGGAGGCGACGCGGTCACGAGTGGGGGGATTAAGGCGGAGCCAGAGCCGAGTCCGCCTCCTACTCCACTTCGCTCCGCCTCCTCCCCCACTTCGCTCCGCCTCCTCCCCCACTTCGCTCCGCCTCCTCCCCCACTTCGCTCCGCCTCCTCCAAAGGCAGTAAAGCTGCAGTAGCCAATAATGGGCGCTGTGCGAGCCCTCCTCCCCTATGGGACGGGGGCCAACAACAACCACGACCACCACCAACTAACAACCACCACCACTAGAGCGGGCCGGGTCCCCGGCACGCAACCGTGGACATGTTCTGGTTCACAGACGGCTTATGAACGAGCACCCGAAATCTGCATTAATGATTACGCCTGGCCGTCTCCTGCGGTGGTATATGTCTCCTAGGTTTTCCACGAGTGGTTAACGTGAACCAGCTCGGGAGGTTGGTTGTGGTGGTGTAAGAAGAACGCCTTTGCTTTTTTTTATGCCGCTGCTGCGTGGGTTGTTGAAAAGGATCAAGCTCAAGTCTTTGACGCGTCCACCCACTCCCGCGCCCCAAACTCGTCCTCTGCGTTTGTAAACATCGTGCGGGAGGTTGAGAAGAGACATCCTGAGATCAGTGCGGACACTGCCCATCAGGCGGCAGGCTCCGTGGCATTCACAATGGCCATTCCGGGAATCATCGATACAGTATTAAGAGATCTTCAAATACTTTTCGGCATGATGGCCGACCTTTGGGTTGCCACGTGCTGGTCTCCTGAATAATCTTCCTTCAGTTTCTGGAGAGGCTCCAGTACTTCGAGCGACGCGTCGGACATGATACAGAAACATCACAGTGCAACCCGAAAACAGCGGAGACCTTCGTACAGCACAACCATGAACGCCTACGCAGTCGCTGTATCAGTCGTCCCCGTGACCCGTGATAGTCGTGAAGTCAGTGGATCCATCTTCTTTGGTTCTTTCGGTAAAGTCACGTAGAATGAGAATAAAATAATAAATTGATAAAATAACACAATATTCTCACGACGTTTCGGCCACAACACAAGCGGCCTTCATCAGGTGAAGGGACGAGACAGTCTCGTCCCTTCACCTGATGTTATTTTATTTTATCAATTTATTATTTTATTCTCATTCTACGTGACTTTACCCGAAAGAACCAAAGAAGATGAATCCTTGCAGTCACGAAAGCTTTAAATCGAAAAATAAAAGTCAGTGGATCCTTTAAAGAAATTACCAGTCGAGGTGGCAACACTCAATACACGTGTATTTTCTTTTCATAATCAGTAAGAAAGTGAATTACCGTTCACTTTTTTTAAACGAGTGGGTTATAAGTGGTATTACGTTGGACTTAAAATGTTTATTTTCCACAACTTAAATTCAAGTGGCCAGTACAATTCCAGAGAAAGCGTCACGGATTTGAATATGAAACCAAGAACGTGGCAGAGATGGATGATATTGATTCCCGGTCTGGGCCTATGATCTAATGAAATGCAAAAGTTGGCAGTCAATGGAAGTACAAAAAGTGAGATGTTGGCCATGTATTGCAGTATTCCATGTGAGTATATGTCTAAAGTGTTACTTTTATTTGGAAAGTAAGTTTATTGCTTGCCCTATAACACCGTTTAAATGTACCACTGGCCAATGGAGAAAAAAACATTGCAATATACAATTGAAAACGTTTATTTCCAATCTTGTCAATAGTGAAAATGGTATTAAATTACTGTATCTGTAAATTCTTAAAAAGCTTCGACGAGAGATACAATGTGGAAAAGTTTACAGCAAGCAAATAAGCACGTATAAGCAAATAATAATTTGATATGACAACACAAAGTTCACACCTCCCAAAAATACTGTACTCGAGTTGCATTTGGATGCATGGATGGAAGTAGACTTGTCAAAATCACTGTTTAATAGGAACTAATTTTCTTCAGAAAAAATGCAAGCAAGCTGGCATCTCTCGGTGTGGAAAATAAAGACTTGCTAAAATGGCATTCAAGTGAAGGCCACGAGGAACGAAAGCATAAACAGGGATGGCTACAAAATCACAGTACTGTACTTACATTTTGACAAAACAGCCCCTGGTTTAATGAGGTAGAATCAATGTTGGAATCTTTACATTTTGAAAGCAACTCTTTAAGGCACTTTAGATTTATGATACTAAAAATTTGTCATTCTAAAAGGAATCATTCATTCTTACACTTTATAAAAAAAACTTTACATTCAATCCCAACAGTTTCCCCAAACATCTAGTGTATTCATTTGCATATTCTCTAGGCCAAACAAATAGTTTGTGTGCAGATAGCATTAGCGACATTTTACTAATCATAAGCCTCTAAAAGCCACCTGGCCAGGCGCCTTGGTCAACTTGACGCCATTTCTGTCTGTGCACAGAATAGCCCAGGGGTAGGCAACCAAAATAACAAGAGCCATTTTCTTTTGAATTCTGTAAAAAAATAAAACCTCAATATTTTCCACGAGCCGTAAATGCATGCGAATAACGACACGAAACAGTCATTAAAGAGTCGCGGGCGGTTCCATAGCTGCAGGTTGCTGACCCCTGGGGAGTGGGATAGCCAAGATGACCCTACCATGAGACCACATACATCGGGATCTGGGTGGAGAATGGTGGCCAGTGCTTCTGGCAGCATTTACCGGCAGTCACAGTCGCCGATGGTAAACTGGTTTTTCCACTGGGTGATCTTTTTCTATCGTTGGTTGATTTTTTTTTAGCGGTAAATTCTTACAACTGGGAAAACCTGTTTAGCACACTTCTGGTGGTTGCTGGCAAGTACTGCTAAAATGTAGATCAGGAATACAGTAATGCGTTTTGGTAGCATTTGTTTAACTAAGCTCTGATTTCACCACATTTATTGCAACTATGTAAAAATAACATTGAAAACATTTTCAGCATTCTGTCAAACAATAATCTCCATTACACTTGAGTTGGTTCTGTACATAACCTTTGGAAATTGTTTTATAAACGGTATAAAAAGTCAAAATATAGAAATGTTAGGTGTAGTATAACTGTTTACCATAAAAAATATATTTTTTAAAGTAAACATCTGAAAGAATATGTAATTCTAAAAATGTAAGCAAGCGGTAAACAGTTCTGGAAAGTTAAGCGCAATCATGGTTAGTTTACTTCAAAATGTTTTAAGGCTGAATAAAATGCCATTAAAACAAGGCCCCGATTCAACAAGTCAAATGCACACACAAATGTGAATGTGCACAAATCATGTAGAGTTTGGAAAAGAACGATAATCCTTTCATAAGAATAGCTTGCCCGACAGTAAGAATGACGCAACATCACAGCAGAATGCAAGTCTTCATAGGTTATAATTATCCATTACGTTAATGACCTCCCGAATACAAAAACTCCCAAAAAATTATGTATTGTAAAAAGGGATTTACAAGGCACTCCTATTTCTAGCAGAAGTTTTGGTGTTCTTGTTACCATATTGCTTACCTTTGCAATATGCTACGAACTTTAACTAGAAAAATATCGAAACATATAAAGCATATATTGTCACCCTATAATTCCATATAAACATGTACTTACGGTTTGAAGCTTCTTAAGTTTTGCCGGTGGGATTGATGCGTCACAGTATTCCCCCGAATAACTGTCGCTGAGTGGCCAGACTGACGTCAAATTTGAAAAAACATAACCCCCTTGTCTAAAATGTCTCAAAATGTTATAACATATCTGCCTGCTAGCTGAATGAGTGTTAACCCGACTCTAAAACTATTTGATTGTTGCCACATATTCACATGAAACCAATTGTATGTACAAATTCGCAAATACAAAGGACATGTTGTGTAAGCATCATTAATCACAATCAGAAACTGTGCGATCACTTATGCGCATGTTAACGAAGCATTTTCTGGTGCAAAAAAAAACACTGACAAGTCAGGGTCCAGGTAACTGCAACCACCAATACAAAGACATACAACCACAGGAAAACTAAATACAAAGCCACAAAATGCTTTCACATGCTTATAACGCATTCCACAAAGATAACACATACAACAATTTAACAAACACGAAAACAGTCTACCACATTTGAAAATGGGGGTATTGGCTAAGTTTCTGTAATTGTACGTGGCTTAATGCTTTTCGATTGGTTGCTTTTTAAATTGTCACTATAATTTACATTTAAAGAAGAATTCAAATAATGGGTTCATGGTAGTAAATTAACCACTGGGCATTTAATGCAATATGCAAACCATTGTCTACATATTAACGTATGCTATTCAGCATCAGGCAAAGAAAAACAGACCTCACTTCAGAGTACTGTCCCAAATATTAACAAAAACTACACACTTAAGGCAGCAGTCTTAAGAATTCCCTTTGTTCAAAAATGGCTCTACGGCCTTGAGATATGCCATTATGACCAACCAATATGGCTGAATAAGGTCATCAAGCTGAACTTTCTTTTCACTTTAACACATTTTGCATCCATCAAAAAAGCCCAACATGGTATGTAGGTGTTTAAGAAGCTATTACACAATATCAGTTGTATATGAAGGTTCGTGCAACACATTTTTAAATAGTTTTTGGTATTACGCCATGTACAAACTGGGAAAAGAGTGAATTCAAATGACAAGCATTACAAACATTTGCAAATTAATGCATTCCATGTGTATATAACTATTACGTTTTTATGCTTTAACATTAATACTGCATTTTCCACTGTGCTCCCATTACCAATGCTACTAATGTTCCAAAGGAAAAAAAAGGCATTGCATTACCCAATATTTGGAAGTGCCCATACACAAAAAAACAATGATCTGACTGACGTGCAGTTAATGTGAGGGAGGGGGTCTACTTATTGTCTTCTAATACTTGCATATGCACGCAACTTGTTAACTTTATTCCGCTCACTTAGAAGTGTTTCACAGCAAAGTGGAGATTGTCCAATCAAACAATAAGTGGGGTAGTGCAGGATAGAAAATGAACACGGATAACTCTGGATGCCGTCCTGTTGCTTTCAGAGGTTCGATTAGGTGCTGCACAGGAACACTCATTAGTTCACTGCTTTCAAAGTCGCATATTTAGTGCCAGTAACTGCTAAGAATTCAGTGATACCACAGACATTGCAGCGATACACTCCGCTGCTCCTGACGCCGTTATCTGGCTTGACCACCTAAATGCGAAATTGAAGTTGTTGCTCAGCATCTACATCAGCTGTACGTATGTACGAAAGAAGTGATACAATTTTATGCCACAAAATGTCAAAAAAATGTGCGGTCAAACCAACTTTTTGGTTTTAACAGTTCGCTTCCTTTGGTACGCATAAACATTTTGTAAAAAAAAAGTACAACGTAAATACTGTATTTGTGTTGGATCAGTCACAAACCTCAAGGGTCTAGTTTTGAATGGGATTGAGGAAAGAGTATTGTTTTGTGGGAAAGATAATACGCATGTTCAACGCTTTAAAAGTAACACTGCGAAACCGAATCAACTACTGGCACTAAATTGAAAGCAAGTTAAGGGCACATCCGTGTTGACAAAAATAAAGGCATCCTCTGTACATAAGGGGGTCTTGGTCAGTTTACGAACTCTTTCTTTTCTTGCCATTGACTGATGGTCCTGTGGTGATTTTCACAATGCCGTTTTCGTACGCTGTAAGAGAGCATTTCAAATGTTACAAAAAAATGGAGTTGCATGTCTGAGTATTTACACGAATTACTATCTTCAAGTCAACCAGAATGTGCTCGATGTCAGAGGCTAGAGCTGAGCCTGGATAGTGCTTGAATGGGTGACCATCACTCCTCAAAATACAACAAATTACACGTGTGTATGTTGAACTTTGTTCACACCGTACGTAGCCAACCGTGCTAATCGGAATTGCGAGGAAAGGACAACAAAACACAGAAAGCAATTGTGAAGCTGTTGCTTTGGTAGTGGTGCAGAAGCAAGATTAACATAACTCGCTATCATCAATGTGTATGTATGTTGAACTTCGTTCACACCGTACGTAGCCAACCGTGCAAATCGGAGGTGCTAATTTGCCGAAACGGGGCAAAATAGGTGACGTTTCATAGCACAAGTGTGACTATTCAATATTTTTCTTTTAAGGCAGCGATAGACGGATGGTTTTTTTGTTTTCAAAATTCAATCGGTGTTGTGCGCAGTAGAGGGCAGTGCAACAAAATCCTCTGTTGTTCTGCACTCCAACACACCACCTTCGCAAACCCGTATTGACCAGCGTGGTGAAGTATGGTCAAATCTTAACTTAGAGCTTTCGTGACTTCAGAAATTCATATTATTTGGGTCTTTCGGTAAAGTCACGTAGATGGTTCAAAGAAAATAACAAAAAACTATGACGTTTCGATCACAACACACGCGATCGTCATCAAGAAGAAAACTGCTGAATGCAGACTGTTACATAGGGTGTAGTCCTAGGGTCATAAACGAAGTGGGTGGGGATAGTGATGTTAATGTGAGAGATTAGCTTGTTAATGTAAGATCGCAGAGCCAACGCGCCGTAGAGGTCGGCGTCCGTAGGTGGCCACGTTGGCGTGAGAAATTCAACCTGTTAATGTGAAATCGGAGAGCCGAAGCCATGGGGAATTTTTTTATAAATAACATCGGAAGCTGACAGCAAGGGATCACAGCCAGTTGTGACTTAAACTGGTTGATAACGTCCTTCCAACGATTGCTAAGTTTGTACCCATCTTCTCGGTTGAAATTGTATGGTCAAATATCCCTCATGGCCTGCACAGCTTGGGAGGTCCTCATCCAGCTGCGAATTGATAAACATGGATTGTACTGTAGATTTATTTACATAAACATGTTCCAGAAATCTTTATGATACTTACATTCTCCACCACGACGCTTACAATTATTTTGCGTGATGTATTGTATCATATTTGTGTGGAACTTAAAGAGGGTTCTTGCTGATGACATCTGGCAGTTCACCAGTGATGATTCGAGCAGGCCTGGCTCTGCTGTTGAGACATGGTCCAGAGCTTGCATGCGCTGAGGGGACTAGTGGCCACGGGAGGTATTGACAGGGAAGACAGCCTACAGTACGAGTGCACTAGTGGCCACGGGAAGTAATCACAGGGGTATCATATTCTTTGGTTATTTCGGTAAAGTTACATAGATAGAAAAATAATAATAAAAAATAAAGTGAATAAAAAATAAACATAAAATATTAATAATAAAAAAACACGAATGTAGACCGGAGCCTGGTTCTTAATTGGAGTGAGTGTATTAGCAGTCTATAATGTAGACTAGTTATTAAGTTTAGTGAGTGTACTGGCAGTATATAATGTAGACTGTAGTAATGGTTACTAAGCTGGGTGAGTGTACTGGCAGTAGTCTGGTTCTTAACCTTGGTGAGCATACTGGAAGTCTATAATGTAGACTTATTCTTGGTTCTTTCGGTTAAAAAAACTTCAAGTGTGAAGGGACTGGTGACTACGGGAATGTTCAAGGAAGCATGGCCAGGTGACGTAAGAGGACAGTGGAGTCTGCCGGTAGAGGGAGCATCCAGAGTCAGCGAGAATGATCTAGAAGGGGGGCGTGGCCTCGTGTTGAGATATAAGGGAGATGAGCGGGAGACTCGGGGCTGTTGCAGTGGGGGTCTCCACCTGATGTCAAGTGAACGTGTCTTCAATAAAGTGCCATCTCAAGAGAAGTGTGTCAAGTCGTCATTACACTTGTACTGAATCACCCCAGCAGCACTGATTGTATAAATTATAATTTTCTTTTTTACGTGGAGAAGTAGATATAGATGAAGGACACAGATTGTCCGCTTATCTATTGTCTTTTTATAGAGGTCAACAGTCTAATTTGGCTACATAGCAATTGGGTGTGAATTACTATCACAAATAACCAAATATCTAGGAAACTAACCTGAATCTTTCTTGAGTTTAAGTGTAGCTTGCTTCTTCTTGTTTGAAATTGACATCTTGTATTCTCTCCATTGCCTCAGCTGAAATTTAATAAATGTCCACATCATCCAGGCTTGTGTGAGGCAGATCAGTGCCAACAAACAAATCCTGGAAAACAACATATTACACGTTTAATGGTTTCACTGACCGAAACTACCAGGAATCTATATTCACATTGCCAGTAATGTAAGGGGCCACTTTAGTGGCAGAAATGATTCATTCGATGAGAGTTTCAGGAAGTTTTTTTGTTTAGATAATACTAAAATAAATAATGAAAATCAAACAACACTAAAGCATCTCTTGCCTTATCAGTAGAGTGTTGAAGTTTCCAGCAGCTACATCCAAGGTCTGGTTTTCGGAGCGTGCCAGGCCAAAGCCAATAGTGAGGACGGACAGTGTCAGTGTGATGAGACGCGACAGCCCAAATAGCACTGCCCACACCTGGAACCTGCAAAACCAAAGGTGTCACTCAAGCAACGATGTTTACCAGAAAAATGCAAAGCCAACTATGACGATTCCTAAGCCTGAAGCAACCCGCAAAGAGTTGTGCTAAACGCAATTTAACATTGTTTTTACTCAAGATAACAAAGGATCTCTGGCACTGTGACAAATGCATATGTGCAATCAAACACATTTGCACCTCTGATTAGCACGATTGGCTATGTACGGTGCAAAAGATGTTCAACATACAAAAACACCACCACTACTCACCCTTTCTGGTAGTTTTCATCGATGAAGTAAAAAATCCGGGAGATGTGAAAAACAAACTCCACCATATAATGCAAGACAATGAGCAGCATCCCAAGCCGTGTGAGACTGAGAACAGAATCCAGAGAGCAAGACAGCACACATCAACATATCTTGCATTAATTATACTTTTCCTCAGAATTCTAAACCAATCGACTCAATAATTTGAAAGTGTTTTTTTCTCATGATTTTCCCCCAATTGTATCCAATTCAGTCATCTGCATCATGTCATCAGATCAAGAATCAATTCGCATCTTACAGAGCAGTGCATGCCCAAGATGTGTTCAGATCTCTCTAAAGAAAAGCCATTTCCCGTCTGCTCTGCAACCGAGAGCAATGTTCGTCACGTAACAACCAAACCAATATTTTTTTTAATTCTTAGGACTGATATTTACAACAAAATAGGTGCAGAAACTGAATGCGATTAATTTTGTCTAATCTCTGGTGACTAGGTTGAGACAATCAACTCAATACTGGGAACCCGGATTAATTCGAGCATGGATTTGTTATCCGCTCAAATTGTTTGTCCAGAAGCAGAGTTGATGTCGTCCATTTCTCCGTTAAAAGGAATGAAGACTTCAAGGCCATTTTGCCACCAGAAATTGTTAACATTATGAATTATATTAAATTGTATTTCAAAATGGCACAATTTATTTAAAGCTATGTGTTGTTCCAACTTACTTAAGTAGATATGCTGCAGCAATATGAATTATGTAAAGGCTGATGTGTTGAAGTTGTTTTGAAATTTCTTCCTGCAAAACATAAACCGTTATAATACGCAGCATATGGAATGAATATACAATTACGTAATGACATTAGAATGTAATGGAGGATGCCTCCTACATCATGGAGAAATCAACAAAATGAAAACAAAAAATGGCTTCCTTACAAAAAAAACTTACTTTTTTTATTTTTTGAAAGTAGAGCTCAGGCAATGCATGAACCCAGTAAGCCAGCTGAAAAATGTAGTAAAACTTCACATAGCAACTACAAAGACAAAAACAAATGAAAACAAATATACACTCAAAGAATCAATGTTGTACTTTATATGTAATTTTGATGTAAGATAAATGAACAATGCACAATCGCACAATCACACAAACGTTTAAACAATAAAATATCAAATGTCTTCCATTCCGATAGTTTGCAGCCAAACTCACGACATAGTGGTATGTGGAAATCCTTCCCAAAGTCTTGACAGCTGTGTAGCATATTCTTCCTGAAGAGCAAATATGATAAATTATAATGCATCAAAACAGTTACAGTTGAGTATCGTTTATATGTGGGTGGATTATCTGGGTTGCAGATTAATCTGGCTTGTGTCCATGTAAACACAAACATGCATGTACGTAAACCAAGTTACTTTGAATGTTTACAGTGCGTGCAGTATTTTTATTATACACTTCCAGTATGGGCTAAGTGTTGAGCATTTATTTTCTGAAGCTTTCACCATGCATTACTGCGGGCAACTTCTGGCATTGGCTGGTCACTCTGCCCCCCTCCCCTCGATTCTGATCAGATGAGAGTATCCATTTCAGTCAGTATCCAATCACAGCAGTTCTGGGGATCTAACATGATACAGTAAACCCTTTATAAATTCGACACATATGGGGCTCTGGCCTTGCCAAATTGTCCAGTATTCCGAAAAATGTACAATGGTACTTCCCCAGTGCCTCGTGCCGCAATAATTTATTTTTCCACATTTGTTTTCCAAACTCTTCACACACTATATGCATCGACAGACCTGCATCAATTCTAACCAAAATTTTAGATTTGTCTCGCAGACGAAGGGATTTATAGTCTAGTCCCTTTCTATTACTTCTTGATGTAGGTGTAGACGACATTTCTGAGAGTGTTGGCTTGCACAGAGTGCATCAGCAAAGGTACGGTCCAAAGCAACAGGTCTGCACCAAAGCTCGCCACGCACGCCGCCACCAGACTGAATAATTATTTTCGTCGTGGCGCATGGCATCGATCCACGTGTATGCCGAAATTGGACCATTCCTTACGGCTATTCAGATCACGTCAAATTACTAATACTGTATATATGCCGAAAGCACAGCCGTGCCAATTTATCCCTGATCACGAATGATCAAATACTGAAATAACGAGGTTTTACAGTAATCTGGACAATCCAGGCAACATATAAGAGTTGAGAACAGGCGAGATGTATAACTTCAACGCCTGCAAACCCCTGCAGAGCTTGAGAGAAGAAATTCTCAACATGTAGCCTAACCTGGAAGAATTTGCGTGCATTACAAGCAACTGCAGAAACCTACATGGCAAGATGTTTTCCTTCTCGCCCATCTCACCAACTTTGTTAGATTTTACTGACCGAAGGTGCCATTCATTATACCGTATTACTAGCTCAGTTGGAAATAGAGACTCAAATACAGAATATTGCACTTTACCACAATGATGATGTAAAGCCCCCAGAAGGAAAATATCAAGGAGAAGAAGGAGAGCTGCCCCGACTCGTTGTACTTGCTGTGCTTCATCTTGGACAAGTGCAGGCGACGGTGCAGCTTCTATCAAAACACATACATACACACATCACAACACACATCAGTCGTTATAAGCAATGGCACTCATCAATCAAAATGAACGTGTTCTTTTCCTATTTAATTTTCATTCGTTATCATCATCATCAGCTATGACGTATCCACTCGAGGTCTCCCCACGTCATCACCATCTTTCATGGTTTTGTGATGCAACACTCCACAGAGCTTCAACACACAAACTCGTTCCATCACTCCATCTTCACGGTAAGACGCCCTCAAGGATATTCTCTCCTTGTTGGTTTCTGACCACCGACCATCATCCTTGAGCGACGTGTCCTGACCAAGCCCGCTTAATATTCTCAACAATCAAAATGTTTTTTACTTTCTAATTTTCTCTACGCCATGTGTTCTTCTTCTTGCCTCTCAGAGCATGTACAGCGAGGGAAAAAAGTATTTGATCCCCTGCTGATTTTGTACGTTTGCTCACTGACAAAGAAATTATCAGTCTATAATTTTAATTGTAGTTTTATTTGAACAGTGAGAGGCAGAATAACAACAAAAAAATCCAGAAAAACGCATGTCAAAAATGTTATAAATTGATTTGCATTTTAATGAGGGAAATAATTATTTGACCCTCTCTCAATCAGAAAGATTTCTTGCTCCCAGGTGTCTTTTATACAGGTAACGAGCTGAGATTAGGAGCACACTCTTAAAGGGAGTGCTCCTAATCTCAGCTTGTTACCTGTATAAAAGACACCTATCCACAGAAGCAATCAATCAATCAGATTCCAAACTCTCCACTATGGCCAAGACCAAAGAGCTCTCCAAAGATGTCAGGGACAAGATTGTAGACCTACACAAGGCTGGAATTGGCTACAAGACCATTGCCAAGCAGCTTGGTGAGAAGGTGACAACAGTTGGTGCAATTATTCGCAAATGGAAGAAACACAAAAGAACTGTCAATCTCCCTCGGCCTGGGGCTCCATGCAAGATCTCACCTCGTGGAGTTGCAATGATCATGAGAAAGGTGAGGAATAAGCCCAGAACTACACGGGAGGATCTTGTCAATGATCTCAAGGCAGCTGGGACCATAGTCACCAAGAAAACAATTGGTAACACACTACGCCGTGAAGGACTGAAATCCTGCAGCACCAGCAAGGTCCCCCTGCTCAAGAAAGCACATATACATGCCCATCTGAAGTTTGCCAATGAACATCTGAATGATTCCGAGGACAACTGGATGAAAGTGTTGTGGTCAGATGAGACCGAAATGGAGCTCTTTGGCATCAACTCAACTCGCCGTGTTTGGAGGAGGAGGAATGCTGACTATGACCCCAAGAACACCATCTCCACCGTCAAATATGGAGGTGGAAACATTATGCTTTGGGGGTGTTTTTCTAAGGGGACAGGGCAACTTCACTGCATCAAAGGGACGATGGACGGGGCCATGTACCGTCAAATCTTGGGTGAGAACCTCCTTCCCTCAGCCAGGGCATTGAAAATGGGTCTTGGATGGGTATTCCAGCATGACAATGACCCAAAACACACGGCCAAGGCAACAAAGGAGTGGCTCAAGAAGAAGCACATTAAGGTCCTGGAGTGGCCTAGCCAGTCTCCAGACCTGAATCCCATAGAAAATATGTGGAGGCAGCTGAAGGTTCGAGTTGCCAAACGTCAGCCTCGAAACCTTAATGACTTGGAGAAGATCTGCAAAGAGGAGTGGGACAATCCCTCCTGAGATGTGTGCAAACCTGGTGGCCAACTACAAGAAACGTCTGACCTCTGTGATTTCCAACAAGGGTTTTGCCACCAAGTACTAAGTCATGTTTTGCAGAGGGGTCAAATACTTATTTCCCTCATTAAAATGCAAATCAATTTGGAACATTTTTGACGTGCGTTTCTCTGGATTTTTGTTGTTGTTATTCTGTCTCTCACTGTTCAAATAAACCTACCATTAAAATTATAGACTGATTTATTTGTCAGTGGGCAAACATACAAAATCAGCAGGGGACCAAATACTTTTTTCCCTCACTGTACCTCTCCAGCCTTCTTTGTGCACTTTTTAGATTTTTTATCCAATTTCTGTCAGTGTCCCGTTTCTGATCCATATCATAGCAGGTAACATAAAATAGTTGCAAACTTTATTTAAGCACATTGGCATACTGCTTTTCTTTAGCAAGTTCACTTTTCCAAAAGCCTTTCCAGCCTACTCTCGGTCACCTCTTTATGTCTTCATTCATATCTCGGTCCACCTTCCAACAGTTCCCACGATGTACGAACTTCGATGTGCTTTTCTGTTGTGTCCTTCTGACATTTTCAATTGTTTATGCACGTATGTATCTTGAACTTCTTTCACAATGTATGTTGCCAACCACACTAATCGGAGGTGCGGAGGAAACCTATTAAACTTGTTGCATGCCACTTTTGTTCTGAATTATCCTTCATCACTGTATATTGTATTTTGTTTTGCTCATATTTATGAATTACAACTTTGCCATTTTCATTCTAGAAAGCATTATGGACCGGTGAGCATGAATAACAACTAAGTGGCAGCCAAAGAAGGGCGGTCCAACATGGAGACGGAGTGATGGGATTATCGATCATCGTAAGGGATGGCAACGGTTTGGAGAGGCATCACCCAGCAGTGGATTGATCATGGCTGATGATTTTTTTTTTCCTTTTAAGAAGCAAATTATAATCACGAACAAGAATGCAGGTTTGTGACATGTTTGTGGTAACTTACATCCAGAATATACTCTTGAACTGTACCGTGGATAACAATAGCCACAATAATGTAAAAGAAAATTGTGGCAAAGTCCTTCTTGCCATACTGGTAAACACTGCTCGGCTCTCCACTTCCATCTGCAAAAATAAAAAACAAGAACATTGAGACATTTTAGAGCCTGTGTTGATGGATTAAACAATAGCAATTTTCAGAAAACATAATTCTAAGCACATTATTTTTAAATTCACTGAATGAAGCACGTATACGATTTAGACATTACACAAAGTCAGCTTGGAATCTTACCTTTATTTCGCCTTTAAGTTGTTGAGTTTAGTGATTTTAAAAAAACAGTTTTCCCCTTTTTTCTGGCAACAAAACAGGTATTAAGATTTTGATTTAAAGCTTTCGTGACTGCAGTGATTCATATTCTTGGTTCTTTCGGTAAAGTCACGTTACCAAACTTAAACCTTTTACAAGGAATCATGTCTGCATTAACTACAATGCTTGTGGTCAGAATGCAAACAAAAAACACTGATAATATATGCATTGTCCTTGAAACTGGATTGGTCCACACCAGAGACAGCCTTTTGGTGTCCTCTGGTCTAACACCTTTTGAGACGAGGCTCAAAAGAAAGCTGTCTATGGTGTGGACCAATCAGTTTCAAGGACAATGCATATATTATCAGAGTTTGTTTTTTGTTTGCATTCTGACCACAAGTATTGTTGTTAATGCAGACATGATTCTTTGTAAAAGGTTTCAGTTTGATGTTTTAACATCTTAACACGACTGTTTAGTTGCCAGAAAAAAGGGGAAAACCCTATTATCATATTTTGGTACTGGCAAAGGAGGTCACATGATGTAGTACCACACTACTAGATATGTACGAAACGCTTGTAAATCGATAAACATTCACAAGACTATTGCACGAGGTATTGATTAACTCCGAAAAACACCAGGAACTACAATGGCACTAACTCAGGTACAATTAAGAAGAACATGTGACCAACCTTCATCTTGGGTTGTGATGTTGTGTTGGATGGACATGAACATGAAAGCAGTGTTTGCAGTCGCCTGAAATTGACAACCAAACAAACATTACAGATTCACTCACTCCAAGCGACCGACATCAGATCTACTGGCCTAAATACTCTTTTAGGTTATGCAAACTGGAGACAAATGGCGTTAGGTCTTGCATTAAGATTACCTTACTTTGCCATCAATCAGGAACAATGACATGTCTCTACTCAAATTATTGTTTAGGCAATGATTGATATAATGACTTTCTTTTACTTTAACAAATCCTCATGATGATTTATTTTTATATAATAAGAATCGCCACATTTAATGATGTCTATAAAACAAAGGTGTAAAGTTTCCATGTATGTAAATAATTTCCATATTCCATTCAAATTATAAAACGTTTAGCCATGTCCTGTTTGAGGGAATATACATAAATCAGTGACCTGCACTGACAATAAGTGGTCTAAATTTCTTGTTAAATTACTTTAAAACATATTTGAATTGGACACAAACATTTCAGCAGTCTTTATACAACGCAGCATAATCAATGTTTCCAAGGTCAAAGCAGATTCCATGAAGAGTTACCTTGTCCATTACGTGTGTTCTGTCATTCATTTACTGTGTGGACTGGTGTACACATATCTTTCCACCTTATCTAAATCAGCTCAAGCCTCCCGTAAATCACGTGACCTCTGTGTGTCCAGGCCCACTTTGAATTCCCGACCTCTCCCCATCCAATTTGAATAGATGCTGCTCCGTGCAGCAGTGTAAAAGCTCATTGGTTTTTTCGGTAAACTCACGTACGTAGAAATTATATTAAAATAAATCAATCACGAGGCTTGTGTTGCGGTAGAAGCGTCGCGATCGATTTATTTTAATATAACTTCTACATATGTGACTTTACCGAAAAAAAACAATGGGTAATTTATGCAGTCACGAAAGCTTTAATTCATTAGTGTAAAGGCTCTGATGCAACCTCTTCCTCCCCCATCCTCGACTGTGCCGACCCTTGTGCTACCCTTTTTTCCCCACAAATTTCAATTTCCATTCTTTCCCTCGATATTTCCCGTTGTTTCTCTTATCTCTTCCCTTTCGCCATTAAATGTTCTTTCTCCATGCATTCCATCATTGACTACTCCCCTTTCCGTGGTGTGCCGCGGATACATAGTTGCGAGGACAATATATTGCAGTGCAACTCGAAAACGAGAACACGTTGTATTGGCAGTACATTTGAGTATCCTAAACAAACAAAAAAGTTGACGCACAATGTATTTATCGTCCTCAGCAGCCGTGGTCAATCCACTGCTGGATGAAGGCTTCCCCAAGCCCGCCACCTCTTATGACCCTGCGATGTTTGTATTTATCTAGCTTCTGCAAGCAACTGCATCTCATGAGGCTGTACAAAAAAATCAAAGAAACATGCTATTTGGAACCACACTGCAGTGCATATGTATGGTTACCTAAGGTGAAATGTGTCACAGGGTGTGTAAGATGCTCATTGAAGATAAACAAGCTACGTCAGGCTCTGACGCATTTCAAGTTACAAAGAGTCCTGAAAGAGTACATTTATCTAAGTGTTAAGGGTCATGTGCAACGCAATTGTAAACTTTCGGTTCTGTAATCTATTTCCCGACTCGACAGCTACAACCACTGAACGAGTCAATGGCAAACACTTCGTCAATTATTATTACATTAGTTAACTTTAATGTGACTGTTTAAACAAAAAATTAAACAAAAGTTACCCAAGTCCTCTGTGCGCGGCTAACTTTCAAGGAGGTTTATAAAATGAGTCTACCTCGTTACCTATCACAGAATGGGGGGGGGGGGCTTACTCTGCGTTTCCAGCCAACAACCCTAGAGGGAGCGTGGTGGCATTGAGTAAGCAGGTAGGCGAGCTAATTCCCCATTGCTCCAACTCCGGCTGGCAAGAGTTGTCGTTTTGGAAAGGAACGGTGGTGATGGGAATAATTATATGGCAACACACATGTTCAGGTGCTAGTTAGAATGCTGAATCGCGGTAGATGGTGGCGGCCTGGAGAAGCTTTCATCCAGCAGTTGATTGATCATGGCTGCTGATGGATGATGAAGCATACGATGTGGGAAGACTTATAACGACGCAATTATTTATGCCAAATGGGGGAGGGAGATGGAAGATCTAGACACACACTGGTGGTTCAGTTCGACTGACACTCCCCTACTCTCCGCTAAACTCTTTCAAGACGTCTGGCGAGCATGGAAGAGCAGGCCAAAAATACCATTTAAGAAGGGTTCTCTCCAGAGCTCCCTCTAGTGGAGGCCCTTTCGCCAAACAGTGACGTGACCAAGCAATTGCAGGGCCGCACCTTTACCATTTACGCCACCAAATTGATTGGATTTGGCTTCACTTTATATATTTAAATATATATATAAGGTTGAACATTACCAATGGGCTTGAAATGCACATATTTGACAACAATTGTAACCTGACACTACAACGTTTATGATTGAAAAAAATTAAAGGACCACGGGGCATCCAAGAATATCACAATTGCTGAGCAAGCCATCCGTGTGCGTTGGTGCTGTTGAAATGATAGCGCCTCTCCTTCGACCGCACTCTCTGAACAAGGTATAGATTTCATTTATTTCAGTACAATGCTGGCGATGACCGATAACAATAGTGCACCTTGCACACGACCAATCGAAAAGGATCTTAAACACCAAAATAGTAAATCCCAATAAGAGACAGTGGTCACCGGTCTTCGTGCAGAATTATAGCCAGGAATCAACTCACTTTCTACCCAAATGAAACCCGGCCCATAGGCGATGTCCTAAATAATTTAACGCACCAAAAAACAGGCAACCGCGATACAATGTGATGGTGAATCGATTGCGTTCTCGTTAAACACCGTGGAAAGCCACTGGCCTCTCTTAATTTCAAGTTGGTGGAGGTTTTTTTTCTCTCCCTCCGCTCTGCTTTTCCAGTGACGTGGCAGCCTGGGCCAGGGCGGGTAACGGAGACTCCGTGCGGGCCGGGGTCTCCAAACCCTGCCCCCCCCCACCTCCTCTCCTTACCCTGCCCTCGTTACATTAACCTCGTTACCTTGAACCCGTTACCATGCTCTTCATTACCCTGCCCTCGTTACCCTACCCTCGTTACCCTGCGCTCGTTACCCTGTCCTCGTTACCATGCCGCCGTTACTCTGCCCTCGTTATACAAGCATCGTTTACCTTACCGTCGTTACTCTAGCCTCGTTACTCGATCCTCGTTATCTCTTCCCGGGGTCATGTCTCTGCAGATTGGACCCGACTCTACCCAAGTGCCCTGCCCTGAACTGATCCCAGCCCAGACCCAACCAACCCAATGCAGACCACGACCTAGCCGGAGCAACATCCAGACCCGGTCCCACATTCAATCCGACCGGGACGCAACCCTAATCCAACCCAACTCCATCCTTACACAACCAACTCAATGCCGACTTCGACCTAGCACGACTCAAGAGCCAGACCGAAACCAGACCTGATGACACATCCTCCGTGAATGTCTGTGGACCCAACCCCCAAACAGTTGTGCTTAGACTGTGATTTGCAACTTCAACATTAAAAAAATGTTACGGTCGTTCCCGAAACAAAGTTAAAAGTCGCGTACAACTCTGTAGATAAAGTCCAACGACCCAGTTGATTTCACCAGGATCCCAACTCAAATTGGATCCACGGGCTGGAGTTAATTTCAGCCCGGGGGTCCCGGGTTTGCCAAGTTCGACTCCGGGGTAAAGCCTCGGGGCCCCAGGCCCCCAGGGGCCTCCTCCTCCGCTGGCCCCACAGCCCCCTGATAGCCACTCGTACCTCGAACATGACCCCGAAGAGGAAGGCGATGACCACGAAGATCATGATGTCCGCGTGGTTCTGGATCACGAAGTCCTGGCTGAAGAGCGGTGGGCTCTTGCTCTTCTTCCTGAGGCCCATGGCTCTCGAGTCGTCTGGCTGACTGGTGGGCGCGACGATAACTTTAAAGAGGAGACGCAGCTGCTGCTGCTGCTGCAGCCGATGATGATGATGAAGAGGAGGCTGAAGCCGATGATGAGATAGGTACTTCTGGTGGTGATAATGGGCTACTTCAGATGATGATGATCAGCTACTTCAGATGACGATGATCAGCTACTTGAGATGTCGAGTTGTTGCTGCTCCTGCTACTGCTGATGACGCTGACGATGAAGTTAAGCTGATGAAGACATTGAGCTGCTGACGATGAGGTTGATGATGATAATCAAGTGGAACTACTCCTGGCGACGATTATAAAGTTGATGCAGGAGTTGAGCAGTTCGTAAAAGTAGGGGTTGGAAATGCTGCTGCAGCTGCTGAGGAGTCTCGAGGAGGTGGTGATGACGACGAGGTGCTGCTGCTGAGCGAATTGTGATAATGAGGAGGTGGATCCGTTGATGAGCTGACGATGAGGTGGAGGTGCTGCTGCTGAGCGAACTGGGCTAATGATGAGGTGGAGCTGATGATGATATGGAGCTACTGCTGATGATGAGGTGGAACTGCTGGTGAACTGCTGATGATGAGGTGGAGGAGCTGCTGCTGAACTGCTGATGATGATGAGGTGGAGGTGCTGCTGCTGAACTGCTGATGATGAGGTGGAGCTGCTGCTGCCGCCTCCTCCCTCCTCGCCGCGTCAACGAAACCTCCCCCAAGACCGGGCCCCGAAATGAGCATTGGCTGTAGCGGCAGCGGCGGCGGCTAGATGTTGCAACGTGGCAAAGTCGTAGTCAACAATTCCACGTTCTTGTGCTGGGGACCAGTACGTTATACAATGCAGTACATTAAATAGACACCCACCCACCTCACCGATCCGCGATGAACTTAGCGGACTAAGATCGTGGATATTGTCCACCGCGGGTTTTACTCCGCTTGTGTGGAAACACAAATCTAGAATAGGAAGAGCCGCGGTTAATAGGAAGACAAATACGGCAAGTGGAACTTTTAGCGTCCACTAAGTTATTACGCCCGAAGTATTAATCAGGGCGGCCGCCCGGGTTATAATCTCATCTTAACGCAATTTATGTAGCGTTCTAACCAATGCGCTTTACAAAGCATTAACAACGGTAATGTCCTTTTGGGCTAGATCGCGTAAATGTGTCGTTAAACCCGCCACCACCCGACACAGCCGACTAGTAAGGTTCGTCACGTAAACAGAACGTGGTCAATTCGTTACTAGTTACAGCACTAGTGTATAGTGTAGTGTAGAGTGTAGTATACTAGTATAGCACTAGTGTAGTGTAGAGTGTAGTATATTAGTACAGCACTAGTGTATAGTGTAGTGTATAGTGTAGTATACTAGTACAGCACTAGTGTATAGTGTAGTGTATAGTGCAGTATACTAGTACAGCACTAGTGTATAGTGTAGTGTACTAGTACAGCACTAGTGTATAGTGCAGTGTATAGTGTAGTATACTAGTACAACACTAGTGTATAGTGTAGTGTATAGTGTAGTATACTAGTACAGCACTAGTGTATAGTGTAGTGTATAGTGTAGTATACTAGTTACAGCACTAGTGTATAGTGTAGTGTACTAGTACAGCACTAGTGTATAGTGCAGTGTATAGTGTAGTATACTAGTACAGCACTAGTGTATAGTGTAGTATACTAGTACAGCACTAGTGTATAGTGTAGTGTATAGTGTAGTATACTAGTTACAGCACTAGTGTATAGTGTAGTGTACTAGTACAGCACTAGTGTATAGTGTAGTGTATAGTGTAGTATACTAGTACAGCACTAGTGTATAGTGTAGTGTATAGTGTAGTATACTAGTACAGCACTAGTGTATAGTGTAGTGTACTAGTACAGCACTAGTGTATAGTGCAGTGTATAGTGTAGTATACTAGTACAACACTAGTGTATAGTGTAGTGTATAGTGTAGTATACTAGTACAGCACTAGTGTATAGTGTAGTGTATAGTGTAGTATACTAGTTACAGCACTAGTGTATAGTGTAGTGTACTAGTACAGCACTAGTGTATAGTGTAGTATAGAGTGTAGTATACTAGTACAGCACTAGTGTATAGTGTAGTGTATAGTGTAGTGTATAGTGTAGTGTATAGTGTAGTGTATAGTGTAGTATACTAGTACAGCACACCGGTGTTTGGAGAGCCAAGCCACGACGTTTACAATCCGAGTACGACGTTTCGCCAGTAATTACAACCAGCCTCATCAGGCGACAGCCAGATTTGTGGATGGCATTGGTCGCGAAAGCCAACATGTTAAACTGACTAAACCTTTATGGAATGACTCTCTCCGACCGTAGGAGTGTCACAATACCCCTCTAGCACCATGGTTAGTGCGACTAATAGGCGAGCGGTAGCACAGCACTAACGCGACATACGGATAGAGTTCGCAGGCACTGCATGAAATTCAGTGGCGGATCGTGTTCTCTCTGCCGGTCACCCACCACTATTCACGAGTTAACGATTTGCATGGCAATTGCAACAAGACCTGTTCAAACGGAAACAAAGCATTCAAATGTGATTCTCGTCAAAGCCCCCACGCTGTTAATACATGCAGTCTCAAACTCTTAAACGGCCGGCAAATTTGCGCTCTGAAGGCGGCTCATTGCCCGAAACGTCGCCTTCTGGTGTATAATCTCTCCCTTTTAAGTCCCCACCACACAGCAATATATTGAGGGCCGCCCAAGTGGAGTGACAAGTGAGCGGCTTGGCCGCGCATCGACTCGCTGCCCTGCAGCGTCTTCATGTGCCGGGGCCGCCTCGCGGGCCGTGTTCACGCGGCACGTTGCGCATGCGCATTGAGCCAGTCGGGGGGGGCGGGGAGGGGCGGGGTTCAATGAAAAGCCCCCCCCCCACACACACAATAGGCCACGCCCACGGGGACAGGAAGACCAATCAGCGTGGTCTGAGGAGGCACCCCCACCCCTCCGCCCCCCTCCTCGATTGGGGTTGGAATTCTTAGCATTGTTGATACATGCCTCAAGCTACAGGAGGCATGTTTGCAAGTTTATTTTTTATATATTGTTTTAACCAGGTGAGAAACTCGAGAGACCAGGATGATTCTCGTCTGCAAGAGTAGCCCTGTGGGTCACCAACATTCCAAAATTACAAAATCAAAACGCAAAAATAAAAACTCACGGTACAGCAATGAAGCAAATCTAAATCGTTGTGAAAAACAACTGCGTCATCACGTGAGAAGTGGGAAAAATATTGTATAAGCAGAAATCGATTTTAAAAAAAATACATTCCCTTTTGCTTAAGTCGACTCGGGCGGGTTATATTTAGACTGATCAAGCAGCCTTTACGCAAACACAGACATTGAGAAGATCGGACAGCGAGAAGACGATCTCACGTTTGTGTGTACACATTGAGTGGTGTGTGTGTGAGTGGTGTGTGTGGGAGGACACACGGTGGGACGTGAAGAGTGGATGTCCTTTGGGTGTACTTCCCCCATCATAGGAATGTGGATTCTCCACCACTGACTCAGAAATGGAAAATGTCGCAAAAAGATAAATCAATTATCACCTCATGTTCAAAATAACATGCATGTGTATATTCTTTGGGGGTGGCGAGATGATGCAGATGTAAGATTGTGCCAATATTGCTGTTATAAATGTATTACTATTTCATATCGCGTAATTCGATGTGGCAATTGTACGGTTGATAGCCAAAACTAATGTTGGTTCTTTCCTCACATAGCTGGGTTTTGGATTACCCTCCCATCGTCCCTTTTGCCCAAGTTCTTAAAATATTGCTCAATTCAAGATTTAAAAAAGCCACACAACATAACTGGTACTCTTTGGTTATTTCGGTAAAGTCACGTAGGTAGAAAAATAATAATAGTTCACGACGCCTCGATCGCAATGCAAGCAAATCGTCTACCTGATGACGATTGCTTGTGTTAACGATCGAAACGTCGTGAACTATTATGTTTTCTACCTACGTGACTTCACCGAAAGAACCAAAGAGTATGGATTCCTGCAGTCACAAAAGCTTCAAATGAAAACGTAACTGGTCAAACAATTCTGGAAAATATCGTGCACGTGTTAGTCGATTGAGATAACACACACGGCGATTTGACATCGCCTCTAACTGCAAAACTTAGTAGGACACTCCTGAAAATGTATCTGGAGACATGGTGAGGCTTTCCTGGGTAAACAAGCAAGTTAACTCTTGTCTGTTATACCTTCAATAGAGCAGTTTGTTGCTGACCGTATGGAGTGCTGGGATTCTGGGTCTGTTCTCAGAAACTGTAACTGATGAAATAAAATACATGTATGTTGTTCCGTAATTGTAACATTGTAATTTTTACCGTTTAAATCCCACGTCTCCCTTGAAAATGTACTTATCCAAGCTCTCCCCCTGCTAATAAATATGTCCGCCTGGTATGAACGTTTGTTTTCTTTGAATCCCAGCAGAGCATAAATACTCGATCCACTACCAAGAATAAAATATAACAGTCATCACAGCAGTCATATGCTCAGCAGAATTCCAGCCCAATTACTTTGGTGTTGACCATAAATCCCCAATGAGAGAGTGCAGGGGAGATTTAAAAAAAAACGATTCTCAAATCAACACAAAGATAAGGGCATTCGCCTTCATGCCATGCTGTTTGCTCCTGTAGCTGTGAACCCTGTTGGACCAGCTGACAAGCAGGGTCCAAGCACAGGATTTGTGTTGAAGACGACACCTTGAAACGCAACTTTGATTCCACGTGGACGTGGTGCATCGATTCCGAGCTAATATTATAAACATCATTGCCAAGTGGAACATATGCCCTGTTGTTACCTGATTAGCACTTTGAAGATGCTCGCAGTGCCGGATGCATATCGTGTACGGCCGTTTCAAAGTGAAATGCCTCACATGGACGTTGTGATGGAGGAAATTAATTTGTTTGCCGTCTGAAATAAAGTTGCAGGTAAGTATGAAATGGAAGCTACGGGCCAAATTAAATAAAGTCACGGGAACGTACGAAATTAAGTTCCAAATGATGGCCAGCGAACAAGTGTCTCACCGTTTTGTAGTGAGCATACGAATACTATTCACGAGCCATGACATGTGTCTCCTCGCTCCAAGGCAAGCGTTTCATTGGAAGCAGACTGTTTTCTGGAAAACATTTCGCTTGGGACCCGACGAACACGATTCCTGGAAGAAGAATAGCAACAAAAAAACCACCCATCGCTTCATCACTCCAGCTTACTCAGCATACGATGCACATGTATGAGTTACCATGAACACACTTAGACAAGACAGTACCATATGTTTCGAAATGAGTAAAACGTGTGAAAATTGGAACTGCGGTTTGCACTTTTCACCCCACGAAATCTGATTAAATACCTCACCGCATTTATGAATTAGCATTGTTATCTAAAAAAATGGGCCTTGGAGACATTACTGCTGTGGAACTCATTCAAGAACATTGCCATTCGGGCATCGCATCAGCGGTGTAGATTCCAGTGATAGGCGAGCACCGTCGTCAATCCAGCAGAGGGCATTGTAGATCAACAGTTGGAAAGAAGATACACTCGGAATAATTCACGAGCCAGTGAATCATTCTGCCATCGAGAGCGAAGCGGCAGCATTGCTGAAATTTA